AACCTGCCTCCAGAAGTTGTGAATGTCCCAACACTGAAGTTTTTAAGAAGAGACTGGACAACCATTTGTCTGAAATGGTATAGGGTTTCCTGTCTGAGCAGGGGGTTGGACTAGAAGTCCTCAAAAGTTCCTTTCAACTCTATTGTTGTTGTTGTTAACTTTGCTGTTGATTCACCTGTTAACTACTTTGCCTTTATATATGGTAGACAGGTGATGAGTCAAATTGGTTGCAAATAGAGGTAGAAGTTTATAAATTTGGGTCCTGTTTTGCAAAGCAGGGAAAACTGATATTTTTCCAATATATTTATTAGTATTTAATTAGGGAGATAATATGTGCATGTGTGTTTTTGTCTTTTGTTTTTTTAATGCATTTTTTTTACTTTTCTAATATTTTATCTCTCTTGTTTTTATAAAATTTCTTTTTCCTGTTTTTTGGAGTTTATATATTATCTTGATTTTCTGAATAAAATAAAAATTTTATTTAAGACAGATTGTCAAACCAGAATCTCTGAGCATCATCGTATCATAAGCATCAATATAAAATTATTGGTGCTTATATAGTGCCATATACTGTAATACACAGCTGTGGAAACCTTATAGTTGAAAATCTAAATCTCATGTTTTAACTTAGTTTGGATATGAAATTGGAAAATTCTTAATATATTTTCTGTGCCACAGAACAGAGAGGGTGGATAGATGTTATATGTAATGTAGTATAATATTTTTAAATTGTATTATTTAAGCGAGTATAAGCAGCTTATATAAAGTTATAAATATTGAGGCAAAAATCTTAAGCCTGAGATCTTAATTGGGAGTGACAGACCAGGAAACAAATTTCAGATTGGAATAGATTGATAAAAATGTCAGTCTCTATCTATTTAGCTGCTGCGAAAAAGATGAATTCCATGCTAACAATTGAAAATGTCACAAATAATGATGTGGTCATACTTAGAACACTGTATATAGATTTGGCCACTCACTTCTAAAAGGATGCAATAAAATTTAAAAGAGTGGAAAAATGTTAGCCAAAAGTGGAGAAAAGCAATTTGATATTGGGAGAAGGAATGGATATGTGATCTTCATTCAAACAGATGTTTTCTAGCACAGGCTATAGCCCATCTGTCAAGGATGTTTTCATTTCTGTACACAAAACAAAGGGTTGAATGTGATGGGCTAAATGGCCTCTTTCAACATAAAGACATTGTCAAATAATCTTGGAAGTCTGTTTGAAGATTATTCGGTTTATACAAGTGTATCAAATAGGCAAAATGTGTAGAAAAGAAAAACGAACATTTTGTCTATGTATCTCATACTAGAACCAGGATAAGCAAATGAAGGTAAATAGTGAAAGATTCAGGATTGATCAAAGAAGTACTTCTTTCCATAAAGTATACTTAAATTACAGAATTGATAACTACAAGATTACTCAAATTTATGAGGAAAGGGTAGCTAATGATTATCATAATGTATTAGTTCAGACCAGAGGTAATATGAGAGAGAGTTAAAAACTATTTTAGAAAGGACAAAATAGTCAAAAACAGCCATTCATAAAGATGTCATAAAAATATACTTTAAAGTAGAAGGCAAATAGTATACAGAATGTGCATGAGTGTCTGTGTATTGCAGTTGGCAATTTCTACATTGGTTTTTATATAACAGAAGGGAAATTCAAGCTGGTGCAGACAGATTTATGGATATTGATAAAAAAGAATGTTATCCTATGTTATCTGTAAGACAAAGCCCATAGCTCCAATGTTGGGTTGAAGCTGACCTCCATTCTGAAGTCTGACCCCTGGAAATACATATTTAATGATAAGACAACATAAATACAATTTAGACCTACTATTGGATTAGAGTATTTAAAAAAAATTCAATGCTTTTTGTATCACCTCTGTCTGTACTATAGATTTTTATTTTATTTTATTCAATTGGAATGCCCTGTTTTAATATTTGCTATAATTTCTTCATACTACTAATATATTTCCACTGAAGCTTCCACTCTAGAAGACAGATTAGCTGACATTTATATATATGGACTTGAATTCATTTTATTTTAATCCAGAGACTGCCATTAACCATGTAAAATTAAATATCCTACTATTACACTGAGGGGAAAAAATCATATTGACAATATATGTTACTTAATATATAAATATATATATATTTATATACAGAGTGCATATTCTAGATAACATAATTCTTTTGCCTCATATTTTCACCAGCAGAATTAACCATCTGAAAAATATCTTTGCAAATACAAGGTAGAAATGTTGTTACCCTGTACCCTATTGCCTTGAAAAGATAATTCTGTTATTGCAAAGATAATTCTGTTATTGCAAAATATCCTGATCCATTCTGGCAAAGGTCATCCTAAAGGAGGATTGATTTAAGGTAAAAGAATCACAATATTAGAAACATAAACTCAGGAATAATTATTATACTTACAGTGAAACCAAATACTATTTTAAATATGAATAATGATTATTGCACCAGACATTTGCCTTCATAAAGAAATATTTTTATGAAAATTTTATAAAAACTTTAGATTTGCACTAGTACTTTTTATTCCACATATAACTAAAATATAGATCCATGGAAAGAGACTAATTATAAGATACAGATAATAAATATCCTATATTTTTTTTTAAAAAGTATACTATATTATGATTATATTGTACATACCAAAAAGAGTGAATAATATGTTTTTCAAATATATATTATAAACAGAGTACATGGTTCTAAGATGGGTTAAAATCTATTATATTTGTGCCTAAACAGTCACAAAACCCTAAGGCAAAAAATGAGTTTTTCAGTCTTGTATCTATTTACCAAGATATATTTCTTTTAAGATAGTTTCTTATCTCTGGTCTAGTGGAGTATCTCTGTTGATCAAGTTGATTCTCAAACTACTCCAGTAGACACGTGGAGATTTAGAGCCCTGCAAATGACCCATTCTTCTCTTGCTATGTCAGGGAGATGCTATTTCAGGTTAGTGCCTATAGTACCATCTTTTAAGTTTGGCTTTTAATGCTTTTCCCATAAAAAAAGCTTTTAAATTATCTCAAGCATCTCCATTTGGCAATACAATTATATAAAAGATACCTGTATTTGTTTTAATGGGCATCAAATAAAATATGATAACTCAGTGTTAGGTCAGTTTAATATGAAAATGGTCTTAGGAACAGTAGAACAATAGGATTAGAAGAAGCTGTATAATAAATGAATGCTTCAAACATTATTAGATACTTCAATCACTGCACTTATTTATTCATTAATATAATTTCTATACTGTCCTAAATTCACAACTCTGGACTGTATATCATTCACAATTAAGGTTTTATCATCAACAGATCAGACTATTTTGAGAAGTCAATTTTATACGTATTTTTTAATAAATCCGACCTGCCATTACTATAGGAATCTGTGGTGGGATATTATAAAAAAACCAGTCTGTTTATTGAGTATTACAATGTATTCTAGATACCATTTATACTAAAATGTGCATATCACATATATGTCTATAATATATACCTGCATTGTAACAAAAATGTCTTAAAGGCCAAAGCTGTAGAACAAAATGTCACTCTGCATATACTTTATGTTGGAAGGTATGAATCAAAACAATTTATTTTGAGATCCAGAAGAGTATGTTGAAATATTTCTAATTCTTATCTGTATTTTAGAAAGTAAATGTCTTTTTGTTGGCTGAATGGCTCAAATTGACCATGCTATATATTAATATGAACTCCACTGCACAGACAGGGTGTATATATTATTTGTATATGACTTGTTCAATAAATAAATAGTATTTGTGCTATAAATTAGTATAGCTGTAAATTAGAAACTAAAGAAACTCTTCACCTTATATGCAAAGGTACAATAAAACTAACTATAATATGACTTAACATGTTCTATGAACCTAACCATACAGATTTACATTAAAAGTTGCAAATATTATTCCAAGTGACCTGATTGAAATGCACTTTAGCTTCTGCAGTGTTTATAGAAAAATTAGCTATCAATATCTGAATGATTTATCCCCAGTTCTAATTGAGTTTACTTTGGTTGAAGATGCTTGCGGTTCACACAATTAATACACCTGTTCATCCAGACAGGCTTTATAGTTTGCGCATATTTCTCGCTGTAGTCTTTTTAATCTCCTATTCCCCATTAAACTTGGAAACTGACATTCACTAATCTTTTATTAAAAATTTGCAAAAAAGGATTTCCAAAGATAGTCTTTGGAGACTTGTGTAATAGATTGAATGAAAGTACCATGAGAAGTAGAAGAAAAATTGAAATGTCATTATATATGTACATTTTGTTACTGCTCATTCAAATGCATGATTTTAAAAAGTAGGCCATGGAGATGATGGCAGTGTTTTAGTTAAATTAAGATAATAAGTTTCACTATAGCAACTTTGCTTATAGAAGAGGTGATACTAGTTGACTGATTCCAAAATTAACAAAATATTTATGTAAAGAAGTTATATGTAGTATATCTGGATAAAACAACTTGTTTTAGGATCCAATCTAGGCTGGTCACCGGGACCAGAGATTTGGTCTTCCGAGTTTTCGGACTCATGCTGGAGCCCATCCTCAGGGAACTTCTTTCTAGCAATTTGTTTTCGATACTATTTTTCTTCAAATTATATACAACATATTGCAACTGGTTATTTTGGACATAATTTGAAAACTTCTCATCGTAACTATTGCTGTAGTACTACATATATGGATAAAGATGATGTACTTGTAGGAGCCCTGTAAGAACAACCTTATTAATCAGAATCCATTGGTTTACTTTCCTTTAGGCTAGTTAGTAATGCTTTTTATTTAATTAAATGATATACAATAAGCATGATGCTTAGACTGAAGTGAAACTATTATAATAAAATCCTTAAATGAATATTTCCAAATATTATCAACCAAGCTACCTCTATTTATTCCTCAGTATATTTATCAAAGCAGAAAAAACTGTTTTATCTTCTTTTCTTTTATAGAAGTTAAATACTTATCTGAATATATCCAAACAACTGGAAGATTATGTTGGATTAGGGAGAGCATATCAAACAGTAGCTCGGGTCCTTTTAAGGTAGGTTGGCATATTCTTGTCTTGCTATCATTTTAATTTAATTCAGCTGTGGAAATGGTTAAGACATACTTGCTTTGTATGACAGCAGGCTATATTGCTTCCCATTTGGAAGGAAGGAAGCAATGAAACCCAGAAATGCAAAGGGAAACTATGGGTGGTAGTTCTGATAAATCTTTGCTTTTGGAATAATTGAAACATTCACAACCATTTGCTGATTAGACAATACTAATCATTCTCCCAGAAAAGCTGACTAAAACGGTGCAAATCTTCAGCAATGAACTTTGCAGAGGCTCAGTGGACAGACTCCTTTGGGACTCTACAGAGTTCTCAGAGCCTTTAATTATGAGTTAATTTTTCGCTGCCCAACTACAGTTCTTTTATGCTGCATAACCTAAAAAAATCTGTTATTTACCGTTAATATGCTGCAAGCATTTTATTACACTTTCACAGAATTAATTTTTAAGGTAGTTGATATAATGATAATTGTCATTACCACTTAAATTGTCAAAAAAAAACAACCCAACCCTGTTTTCTCTCTTTATTTTATTTTTAATTCATACTTGTTTACCCTCATACTGTGCAAATGCATGATTCATTTCAGAGCAGTACACAAGTCCTATTGAAATAAATGAAGTTGGTACAGTATCATATAATTGCACATAGTGTATATGTTTATGTGAATTAAACTTTTAAATTATGGAGATTTGGGTTTTAAATTACAATAGATGCCCAGCTGCCAATGCAACTTTTGTTTCGACAGAGAGATTGCATTTTTTAGAACATATTATCTCAAGTTGAACTGAATTTCCTAGTTCTAAAGTCCCATATGACCTCCTGATTCTTTATCAAAGGATTTAGGACTTAATGATAGATATAGTTCTACTGTCATTATTTGGCTCCTGCAAGCCCCCCGCCTTCCAAAATTTTAGGATAATTGCAAATGCAATAGTTCAAAAATATAGACACTTCCTGGGTTCAAATGTTTAAGTAATACCGATTTGTGCATATAAACTTCTGATTTATTATACGTAGAGTGGTACAATAGGATATTCAATGACTAAAATAGATTTAGTACATTCTTTTTTTCATGTTTTTCATAAATATTGATTGGATTGGAAAAGTGTTTCATATGAATGCTTCATAGATTGAAGCATTTATATTAAATAATTTAATTATTGTAATACTCTAAAAATATTATATTTTGCTTAATTATAAATTAATTAAATAATTATTCATAATTACCTTGTGCATATAAAGATGGTCCATCTTAACAATATAAAGAGCTCATACAGAAGAACTTTCTACAGATTTATTTTCAGTGTAAAAGTATATGTTGTGTTTTTCAACATATTCCAAATATTTTTTTAAAAAAAAAATACTAGTTTTATTCTCAAATCTTACAGTTAATTCTAATCACAGCATCGTGATGTTGGCCAAATATGTTTTTTTTTCCTTGTGGATAATAACTTGTGCATTCTAATATAAGTTTGTATTTTACTGAAAATATGGTTTCACTGACAAGATTTTGTTTATCTCTAAATAAAATAAAAGTGTTGTTTTAAATTCTAGATATAGGCAGATTATTATTTAATGCTATTTATTTGCAGAGTTTGATTCCTCCATTGTTGTATTTCAGACTTCTTCAATCTTATTTTAATTTTGTAGCAGAGTTTTACACTCATGGCGGAAGTAAAACTCTGTAGAAGCATATTTCCTTTTGGTTGTTATTCTCATTAATTCCTTTCCCCCTTTTTATTTTCCATTTGCTTTATTGAAATTGAATGGTATAGTAGCATCCTTATTTTTTATAAATGAAATGTGGAATCTAACTGGGCAATCTCAAAAACTATCCAAATATCCTCAAAAACATTTCTATTAATTCATTGCATTAAGAAAACCTTTATTCATTTTCTCCTGTCACTGGTTCCATTTGATTTATTACTTTCAGCCATCCAACCCACAAACATGGTGGCACAATCAACAACCCCCTTGGTAGCTGTTTCATCTCTGTTCTATTTGATTTCTTCACTCTGAGTAAATGATTAAGATTTCATGCATTGGTTCAACCAAAATCTATGTTCACTCAACCACATCCTTTATTGATTACTTCTACTGCAAACAGTAGGCCAAGTGTGATATACATAATTGGACAGTTGTCAGGGGATGTGGGTGTTAACGGTCCTGTTTTCCCAATTGGAAACTGGAATCACCTTGATACACAAATATTCTGCACAGTTTCATTCTCATTCTTTGGACCGAAGAGTACTTTTCTCAGAATATATGTTTTTAACTCTCTAAGGCCTGGTTGAATGAATCTAGTGATTATACCATATAATATGTTGTTCAAGTTGCACCTGTGCACTGCATATAGAAAACTAGAAAAACTGGAATTAATATTTGTATAACATTTTAACCTTGTCCTTTAACTTCTATGAATCAGTTCAGTTCTTCTGTGTGGAAATGTTTGATTTCTTCCTCTTTGAAAGAAAAAAGACCTTTCAAAATGTGGCTCTTCTTTAAACTTTAGAAACCCTTTGACATGCAGTAAATGTTTGCAATGCATTTTATATCCTCATAATATCTGATGGCCTTTTCAAAAATGTAATAAAATAACCTCAAATGAATACATTTTATTGCAAAATTTTAAAATATTAGTTTTAATCTCATACAATTTTTAAGCTACAGTTTGAAAATGTAAATTAGTAGAATTTAGTTTTAGTTATGGATAGCATTATATCTATAACTAAGTTAGCTACTGCATTAATTTGGTTCACCTTAATCATTTGCATGTTAGATTCAAGCATGCCACTGATATTTTGCTCTACAAATTATACATGTTTATTTTTGTATTTACTGTTTTTCTCCTACATTTTAAATAAAAAATCCTTTGCAATTATAAATATATATTTTTGTATTATTTATTATATTATTGTAGAAATTGGGGTTTATTCATAGCTCCACAATTTAGTATCTGAACGATTACATTAGGCATTTAGGTTCAAGGCAAGTATTGAAATCATGTTTATTTACAAACAGGTTTAGCTAGATTGCATTACTGATGGGAAAAGTGTTGTTAATGTAGCTTTCTTTATCAAAAGTATGCAAAAATCTTACCAGTGTTCATTTTCCAACATTAAGGTTAGATTTGGGAATGATCTCGGATGATTATTGGTGATGATGCACTACAAGTCAGTGCAACTATGGTATGTAGTGTAAGTTTATAATTAAAAAGCAGTCATTATATCTTGAAAGAATCTATCCTATAGCAGTTGCTGCAATTTATCATTTTCTTCTATATTGACTCATATTTACATTCTATAACTTTTAAAAACAAGGTTATATACACAGATTGTTTGGTGGATGTTTGGTTATATTCTTGTATAATATAATGAATTTCTTCAATAAATATCAAGTTTCTTTGTCCCTAGTCAGGGAAAAAAAGGTGAAGCTATTAGATACTTGGAAATGTTCATGGATATTGCCAAGAAAGTTCAGCTGAGCCAAAGTCTTGTGGATGCATGTATATTCCTTGGAAACATTTACAATGAAAGTGTAAGTTTTAATTTAATAACATATTATATATACTATTACATCAGTCAGAAACAGCATTAATATATATGTGATGTTAAACATTTTAACACCATGTATATGCAATCTGCATATACTGTTGCTGTATTTTCTAACTGATTTTTACTACATTGTAATAAAAACAAATCCTAAATGTTTTTTTAAATATTTCAGTTTTATGACATTTGATTAAAAATTGGCTCAATATATAAAAGTGTAGTATTAAATAACAAAACAAAAAAGGGAATAAATAAAACAAATTCAAGTTGAGCGTTTGTGTCTGTGGTCACATTTGTGATTTTGGGAAATCAATACTGTGAACAATCATATTCAATATATCTATCCAAAACAATAGCTTTGCAGATGAGAGTAATCTATTAGAAAACTTATGTTGACAAAATAACATTTTAACTAGTTTATAGATATTTTTCCAAATGTATTTTTCTTACATTAATTGTTTAATTAAGGAAATTTTCAACATTTTTCAGTTCCCCTGATCCAATGAAATAGCTATTTTGGTTGTCCAATATTTTACAATAATATGAACTGAAGGATATTATAATATTATGTTTGCCTATGTGCTTAAGAAGTATAAATATTAAGACCACAGCAGGATATATTAGGAAGAATTGTTGAACAATTTTCCAATTTTTTTCAATGAAAAGTGTTGACTAATTGGACATTGCCACAAAGCTTGGTATTGTGGTATGTTTACAACCACTAACACAGTAGAGAAAGTTTTAATGGAGCATAATATCCATATGTTTTATCTTCCTAGTCAATTTTTTTGTCACTGCTCAAAATCAACTTAATGGTTACTATACCACAAAAAAATAACTGAGATTAATTGAATTAAGTAGCCTAATTATCCTCCATTTTTTAGATTTTTCAATTTTCAATAAGTGTAGAAAGATGAGATTGATGTACAATTAAATCAAGTATATATTAGCATGCATTAGTGATATTACTTCATGTCATAATAGAATAACAGAGTTGGAAGGGACCTTGGAGGTCTTCTAGTCCAACCCATTGCTCAGGCAGGAAACCCTAAACCAGTGATGGCAAACCTTTTAGAGACTGAGTGCCCAAACTGCAACCCAAACCCCACTTATGCATTGTCGAGTGCTGGGTGGGTGTGGCCCATTGGCTGGGTGTGGCCAATTGGGTAGGCATGGCTGCAGTGGTAATGGCAGACTGGGTGGGACTAAAAAGTTCAATCAATCAATTCCAACTTTGCAAGATCTTTTTTTTCCCGCAAGAAGTTGAAATTGACTGATTGAACCTTTTTTTTTTTTTTTGCACATGGCGGCAAAGGCCTAAAGTGAAAAGGTTTTATAAAACCCAGCTGAAGGCCTAGGACTGGGGCGACGGCACACGTGCTCACAAAGAGGGCTCTGAGTGCTACCTCTGGCACCTGTTCCATAGGTTCGCCATCACTGCTCTAAACCTTTTGAGACAAATGGTTATCCAATCTCTTCTTTAAAATGCCCAGCACCCACAATTTCTGGAAGCAACCAGTTCCACGGATTAACTGTTGTAACTGTCAGGAAATTTCTCCTTAGTTCTAGATTGGTTGTCTCCTTGATTACTTTCCATCCATTGCTTCTTGTCCTGGTTTCAGTTGCTTTGGAGAATAGATTGATCCCTCTTCCTTGTGACAGCTACTCAGATATTGGATCACTGCCTATCATGTCACAACTAGTCTTTCTTTTCATTAAACCATACATACCCAATTCCTGCAACATTCCTTCATATGTTTTAGCCTCCAGTCCCCTAACTGTCTTTTTTTTTTTCTTCTCTGCATTCTTTCTAGAGTCTCAACATCTATTTATATTGTGGTGACCAAAACTGGATATAATATTCCAAGTGCACTTTTACCAAGGCATTATAATTACCTAGCATGATAATACCAAGGCATTATAAAGTGGTATACAGTGGTAGAATGCTGGGATTGTGGAGGGATGATCTTATCTGTGTTTTATTGTGAGACTAAAATAAGCAGGAGATTTACTATCTAGAATATAAAAACTTTTAGTTCCCACAGGCTTTTTCTATTTGAAATTACTTATACTGTTGTATTTAATTGCTGGCTTGAATAGTAATTTAATAATGTTTTATTTATTGTAATTATACTCTTTTATATTTTATATTTATAATACTTGAACTATTTGATTAACAGATTATATAAAGTATATTCTGTATTCATTCTTCTTTATTACCGTACTTTCCGGCATATAAGACAACTTTCGCAAGCATTAAAATCGGCGCCGAAGTCGGGGGTCGTCTTATACACTGAGTCATCTTATACGCCGGAAATAATGGTAGTTTCGGGCGTATAAGATGACTTTCTAGGCATGCGACTCGGCGCCGAAGATGGGGGTCGTCTTATACGCTGGGTCGCCTTATATGCCGGAATATACGGTATATAAACAACTATATAAGTATAAACAAAATTCTGCAGGAATAGATTTATTTATTCAGATTTTTTCAAGGAGTTTGGGGCAATATATATGTTTTTTTTCTTCCTACATGCATTGTAGTCTTTTAGCAAATCTTGACATAGGTTCGACAGAAAGGGTATGATTAGTCTAAGCCCATGGTGGTGAACCTATGGCACACATGCCACAGGTGGCACGCAGAGCCCTTTCTGTGAGCACGCGCACCATTGCCCCAGTCCTAGGCCTTCAGCTGAGTTTTATAAAACCTTTTCACTTTAGGCCGCCACCGCCGCCGTGTGCAAAAAAAAAGGTTCAATCAATTTCAACTTCTTGCAGGAAAAAAAGATCTCACAAAGTTGGAATTGATTAATTGAACTTTTTAGTCCCACCCAGTCTGCCATTATCACCAAAGCCATGCCCACCCAATGGGCTACGCCCACCCAATGGGCCACACCCACCCAGCACCCAATGATACATAAGTGAGTTTTGGGTTGCAGTTTGGGCACTCGGTCTCTAAAAGGTTCGCCATCACTGATCAGTTGAAATTTGAACCAACTCCATTCATGGCCAGTACTCTAACTTCTATTAAGAGCATTCTTCCCTTCCCTTCTCTCTTTTCCTTCCCTCTCCCTTCTCTTCCTCCTTTCCTTCTCTCCTCTTTTCCTTTACCCTTACTTTCCCTTCTCTGCCCTTCCCTTCTTCTCCCCTCCTTTCTCTTTGCTTCCTACCCCATCCCATCCTATCCCATCCCATCCCATTCTTTTCCGAAGGACACGTGACATTTAAATGACACTCTGAAAGCCCATTCTCAAGATAAAAATGATGAGATTTAATTCAGTTTTAATGTCATATTTCTTTCCTCACCCCCAGCCATTGCAATTCTTTATTTGAGTCATTATAGAAATAGTTTGAAAGTTGCAAGTGATAATCTGGAATGTTGAAGTATGTTTCTTTTTTCTAGGGGAATTACAACAAGGCCTGTGAATATTTCAGTCAGGCTTTTGAAGCAGCAAATGCTCTCTCCGATTTGGCCCTCATGAATGAAATAAAGGTATATTGTGGCATTGGAACAGCCCATAGCTTGATGTTGAAAGCTAACACTAATATAGAAGCTGCAGATCCCATCAATCTCAAGTGCCTGCTGGACTGGAAAGAAAATAGAAGTGACATGTTCAATGACCCTTTTACTGTGGGTAAGATACACATTATGAAACACATTAGTGTTGTATTGTCCTTATGGTTAAGTAATTTTTTTGCATAGCTTTATTAAATTATTTGCTGAGTTAAACCAATTGGTATATCCATGTCTTTATGGAGGTAGGATATACTACTATGAAATTTTTAAACATATATTTAGTTTTTCTAAATATATTGGTCACAGTTTGTATCTTTTAACTCAGCATTCTTTCACAAAATAGTATGCTACCATTTTCAGCTTAAAGTTCCTTATACTGGCTCATTTTTAGTCCAAATGTTTTATATGATAGATGGGAGAATTTGAAATGGGCATGGAAAAGAAAATGTAACTATTTTTGCTTTCTGATAATTAACAAATTAATTTAAAAACATTGTAATTTTAAATCTAGAAAAATTAACTGATAATGTTACATTGGAAGGAAATAACAAATTAAATTAGTAACATGGTTGTTACGTGAATCTGGTTTCCCCATTGACTTTGCTCGTCAGAAGGTTGCAAAAGGGGGACATCGCAACCATCATAAATGTGAGTCAGTTGTCAAGCATCTGAATGTAAATCATGTGACCATGGGGATGCTATAATGGTCCTAAGTGTGAAAAATGGTCCTAAGTCACTTTTGTCAGTGCCGTTGTAACTTTGAATGGTCACTAAATAAACTGTTATAAGTCAAGGACTATCTGTACATTTTCAATACTTCAATACATATTTTTTGATTGGTTAATGTAAGTTACAATTGAAATAACTCAAGTATTCATGGATTTGCAGAATCCTATTGGGAGAAAGAAGTAATATAAACTTTATCGCATCGGTTCTTGAAAAACAGGAAGTAGCATTGTTCTCCTATATGCCAGAACCTATTGCAGCATATTTGGTATAATGTGCTAGTTTCTAGAAATTAGCTAGTTTCTAGAAATTCTAGAAATTATATCCTGAAATTCTTTTTTATTTTATTGTTATTTTTTAGATATTTTTATCCCACCTTTATTGCTTTGTAAATAACTCAAGGGGGAGGAAATATACATAGCACTGGTTCCTCCTATTTTCCCCTTTGAGGTGGGTTAGGATCAGAGAGAGTGACTGGCCCAAAGTTAGCAAGCCAGCAAATGTCTAAGATTAGAACTCACAGTGTCCTAGTTTCTAGACTTAGGCCAATATCTTAACCAGCGCTCCAAACTGGCTCTTTTAACAAGGTTTTTTGTGACTTTGTAAGAATTTAAAGGTAAGTCTTCTACAATATAAAAACTTCAGATTCATAAAAATAATGTTTCAGATGGGTTTTAACTCCCAAAGTACAAATTGGTAATGCTTCTAAATTTTTTTTAAAAAAGGAGTTCGGTGTTGGTGTGATAACAGATCAGATGTCTTAATAAAAAAAAACTATAGGCATCTGGAAGAAGCTACATTGATACCAGGGTGCATCATGACTTCATCACACAAATGATGAAAATTATGTTATTGTGTATGATGACATGATTACAGAAGTAATACCATCTCCTGCCCCTCCCATGCTTAAAACTCTAAAGCAGTGGTTCTCAACCTGTGGGTCGGGACCCCATTTGGGGTCGAACAACCATTTCATGGGGGTCGCCAAACAACGCAGTACGCCATTTTTTTCCCCCTTTTCCTTAGCTGTGCTACTCCCTTTTATTCTATTGGCTTTTGAAAGCCAATAGAATAGACTCTCTTGAATAGAGTCTAATTCTATTGGCTTTCAAAAGCCAATAGGAATTGTCCAGGCTGTCTCTGCCCTGCTGAGCCCGCCAAAAGCCCCAGTCTGCAAACGGTGCTGCACCAGTTGAGTAGTCCTCATCTTATGACCGGTTGAGTAGTCCTCAACTTACGACGGGTTGGGGGTTGCGGCATTAAAAAGGTTGAGAACCACTGTTCTAAAGATTGAGATATCCTTTACTGGGATAATTCATTCATTAGCTTTTTGTAAATGTACTCATCTGCCATAATATTATGTTACCGTAGGTTTTAGGATGTAGAAACCATTGTTATTATCAATATTGCAGCTGCCAGAAAGTGTTCGATGGTGGGGTTCCTGTAAAAATCTGTTGAATTCTTATGACATATTTAAAAAAAAATATTTGAAAAATGATCATTGTTGCAGTATAAACTTTAGTTTTGGATTATGGCCATTGCATATGTCCACTAATTACTTTTCTGATTAATATGATTGAACTTGATGTTGCTTCAGTGAAAGAATTTTCTTAACCAAGCATAGTTTTAAGTGGTTAAATAGGAAAATAATATCATTTGCCAGTAACTCATAACATTCTCCTTTTTGCTAAAAAGGAAAGAAAGCAACTCACTTTATATTTTAGTTTATGTATATGCCTTATATATATATGAATATGTGTATTTATGTATGTATTTTATAAAGTTTGCCAAATTTTAATTCTATGGGAGTCATGGATCCTAGATTTTAGATGCATTTTATAAGCTAGTCTATGTCAGATATCTTGGTTCAAAAATAGTTGCCCTCCAATGCCCTGTTTCTGCAGTTATAGGTTATACACAGACAAACAGGAAAGCTTTAGTAGTATACACATAGTCTGGGGGCTATAGGACACATTAACTAGTGTGAAAATAAAATTGAAAGTCAGTTGCAAGAAAATATTTTCATTAAATATTTTCTTGCAACTGACTTTCAGTTTCATTTCTTTATTTTTATCTAGACATACTGTAGCTCTTCCCATTGACTCTGAAAATGAAAGAAAATATACTGGACTTCTGGGGAAAGTATGGCAAACTGAGAAAGCTGGGTGAAAGTGTAGCCAATGATCACAATAAAAACCAAGGAACCTTTGAGTAGACTGGTTCCTTTAAACTCGCCAGATAAAGAGATAATAGGAAGTCATCCACATATGCTTCAGATGGCTGTTCCTTGCAAGGAGACTGAAGGACAGCAGTTTTTCTTGCATCTGAGTGCCAGGACACAATGGGATTAGCCAGCTTGCTCACAACCCTGGCAGAGACTTTTAAAAGAAAGCAAATTTGTAAACTTTCTAATAGCTTTTGGAAATTACTCATTAATTAATTCTAAGCTAAGGCCTTCAGAATGATACGTTTGAAAACATATTCTACTCTCTATTTTCTCTTCTTTTTTAAACTTTAATTTGTTAAATTTGAGTTTACTATTATAATCAAAATCCTTAACAAAAACTGTATATGAAATGAAAGAAAATATACTCAAGATACTGCTGCTACTGCAAACGGGAGGGGGGATTTCTGATAGTCCAGCAAGGTAAAACACAATTTTATATTCAGAGGCATTGTTTGCACTCTATTATTTCACTATGTGTTTAACTATTACTAATTATTAGCCTGACATTTTCTAGTTCCTTTCTGTAAAAAAATTAGTTACTCTCATTTTAATTATAATATTATAATATAATGCCCTTTTTGCTACTTTCTTATGAACATTAAAACATCACCTATACCTTTTTATACCTTGTAATTAAATATTTTATCTTTTTAACTGAACATATATTTTTAAAATTCTTTCCTCTGTTTTATGCTTCATTTATAATTTCGTCTTTACATGGTGGAACATTAGTACATTTCTTTAGTAGTTTGGTGCCCTCTGAATCTGTTGGCAATGAATACTAAAAAAAAAAAAGGACGAAATGAAGAACAGTCTTTTCCCCAAGTCTTTCTGGGGAGTATGTATTTATTTATTTGTGTATAAAGTCTAATAATCCACAGGGAAAATGAATTATTAGGGAAAGATAATCCAGAAGGAAAGTGAGGAATGACTCATGGCCATTTTCTTTTTGCTATTGCCTCTTTCTTTCTCTTTATATTTCTTATATGTATTCCTTCCCCCACTCTTTGACAAAAAACAATAGTCAATTATAATTTCTTCTCCTATACAAATTATTTTGATCTCCATAATAATATCTTCTGAATAGGAAGATTCAACTACTTCCATTTTATTTTTCATTTTTCTATTCTTCAGCAAGGAGGGATCTGCTTCTCTTTCGCTCATGATGGAAAATGTAAGAACATTCATTAGAAAGAAATGTTTAGATGAAACGCATGGAACTTACTCATTTGGGCAGAGCAGGAATAAGTTCATTCAAACAATTGGACTAGCCTTTCTGTACTTTCATTTTGTAGGATTTCTACACTGTAAGTTTAACCTATAATTGGTGAAATGGCTGATCTAGTACAGACACTAAGAGATGTCCGGAAGCAACTATAGAGCATTCAAACATAGATCTGAATTGGCCCAACATTTTAGACAGATTATATTGTATAATTATTATTGGTAAACCTGTTTATTAAAGTGATATCCATGCCTAAAGATTCTAATGTCCTCATTTACTTCAAAAACCTCAGACTAAAAGGACTTAGAACATTTTTGAAGAAAAAGGGAACTAGAACACAGTGTTGTGAACTATGCTTTCCAGCAATATGGCCATCACCTTACATCTATGAAATAATAAATATTCTGCTACTGCCCACTAGGCCACCTCCAAACCCTAAACCAGTTTCTTCCTGGTATTTCAATCCTAGAGCACATTGGGTGATATTTAATATTTAATGATGCCTGTGTGTTGGAGTGAATGCACAATGCACACATATATTTTATTTATGTCTCTTTTATTATATAAAAATTATATTGGATGAACCAAAACAACTGAGCTGGTTGTCTAAAATGTGATCTCCCCAAAGGCCTTGTTAAGAAAATGTAAATTTAGGGGATATTTTTTTAAAGTCAAGTCACCTGGGCCAACAAATAGCTGAGATATCTTACAATTACCTACCTACTAATATCTTTATGGTTCCAGTAAAATATGTGTATGCATATGTTTATAAAAAACTGCTGGTTCCCTTTCTTTTAACATTTTACACTAAGCATGAGATATCACACTTTTCATTTCCTGTATTGTTAAACTCTGAAGGGAGTAAAGTTATTAGCTGTTGCTATTATGCGCAGTTCATCAGTAAACTAATTGCAAAAGAATTGCTAATAATTAATATAAA